TTTTTTTATGTTGCTCAGAAGAGCGTTCTATACTCACATTTTTAGCAATATTCATATGCCACCAACATCTTTCCCCAGACCACCTGCCTATTATAGTCCAAACCTTGCCAGACTTGATCCAGGTTCCTGTGCATTCCCTCCCCCAAGTCCATCCACGTTACCTGTATTATATCACAGCAAAAGAGAATTAAGGTTGTGGATAGAACGCAGCTTGCTAATTCACAAAACCCACTGTTGTCAAGCTGATTCCAACTCATATAAACCCTGTAGGACAGAGCAGAATTGCCTCACAGGGTTTTCAGCCTGTAAATCTTTATGGAAGCAAGATTGCCACAACTTTCTCCCTTGGAATTTTGGGTGGGCTCAAAGCACCAGATAACCAGATAAGTGATAACTCCTATCAAATGGACTTACAATGAAGCGATCCTGGATCTTCCAAGGGGGAGCAATGTAACCATAAACCCCAAACCTAACTCACTGCGGCTGAGTCAGTGCTGACTCAAAGCAACTCCCTTGTGGGTTTCTGACACTTTAACTGTTTACAGGAGTAGAAAGCCTAGTCCTTCTCTCTCGGAGCTGCTGGTGGTTTTGAACTGCCGACCATGAGGCTTGCAGCCCCACTAGCAAACATTACATCACCAGGGCTCCTACAACGTAACCATAGGGTCCTTGTAGATTGGGGGGGGGGGGAGGCAGGCAAGGAAGTCAGACTGATGAAATGTGGTAAGAATTCTACCTGGTTGAAAGACAGAAGAACAGGGACCAAGGAATGACCGTGTCACTAGCTACTGGAAAAGCAGGGTAACACTCTCCCCTAGAGCTCCCAGAAGGAGCAAAGTCCTGCCAATAGCTTGCTCAGACTTCTGACCCCCAGACCTGTGAGATAGAAACTTGCAGTGTTTTAAGCCACTGCACTGGGTTGTTACAGCAAGAATCAGGGACGCACATTTAATGCAGGATTGTTTATTTACTGGTCCCTTGCAGCTTCTGACACCTTTCCTTGTTGCTAGTTGCCATTGAATTGGCTTCCATTCACAGTGGCCCCTTCCACAGCAGAGCAAACTGTTGCCTGACCCTGCACTACCTTCATCATCCTTGATATCGAGTGTGTGCATTGTTGTGGCCGCTTGTCTTTCAACATCGGAGGCCCACTTCCGGGTATTAAGTCGGCCAATATTCAGTTGTGATCTATAGCATTTTCAGTAGCTAATTTCCAGAAGTAGTTTGCCAGGCCTTTCCTCCTAGTCCACCTTGGTCTGGAAGTCCTTCTAAAATCAACCCACCATGAATGACCCTGCAGGTATTGGATACCGATGCCATAGCTTCCACCACATCGCAACATGCAAGCTACCACCTTCCTAGGAAGGGGCGCCTCTTCTACAGGGGTCATGACTGCGTTGCTTGTAACAGAATGAGGAATTCCAGGACGAAGGGGATAGGGGGAGTGGGGGCGGGCGTGAGTTAGGGAGAGGGGTGTGAGTGGTTAAAGTTGGGCTGCCAAGCAGGAGTTTCTACTATGGTAGAGATAATCGTCTCAGAAACAGAGGGGCCGTTCTCCCGGTCCTGCAGGGCCGCTGAGGGTGGCCATCGGTGCCATGGCAGTGAGTAAGAAGGAATTCACTCGCAGGGAAAGATCCGAGCCTTTCCCAGCTAAATTCAACTTCCCCTTTGCGCTTCCTCAGCCCCTGCTCTGACCACCTACTCTCCAAAGAGCTCCTGCATTCTCTCCTAGGCGAGTACTGCGGATATGTCGTTGGTTAAACAAATACCCCAAAAGCTAACCTAAAAACATAAAGCATATTCCTGGAAAAATGGAAGGATTTGCCTTTTCTCCTCGGAAAGGTATCCCAGTTGGCTATTAGAACGTCTAGATATTTCATTATCTCTGCGCGTGCATCCAACTTCTCGAAAGAGGACTATGGTGGCGGGGAGCGGGGAGGAGGGGGTCGCCTTGGGTCCGTTAGGAGCTGTGTTGATTTTCAAAGGGGCCCGCTTATCTGCCAACTCCCCTGCGCCCAGCGTCCGGCGGGCGAGAGACTCCCATGGGCACGCGGACGCGGGGACCCGCGTGGGGAGGCCACCCTCCTGGCCC